ACGCCCGGAGTGACTTGACCCCGAGCCAAAAGATGGCGTACCTCCTGGCCTCACTGGAGGGGGAGGCCCTGGGCGTCGTCGGCCACTTGAGATTGTCGGACGACGCCTACCAGACTGCTCGGGACCTCTTAGCCAGAAGATACGCCAACGTCGGGCGAATTGCGGACGAACATGTTAAGCAGCTTCTAAGCCTCCCGCTGCTTAGTGACCGGGCCAGACTACGTCCGGACCTGTTGGAGCCAGTCTTGGTGGCCTGTAATACGTTGAGGCGGCTGGATTTACCAGTGGGCGAATGGGCTTTTTTATTGCTCCGCATCGTGCTGTCCCGTCTACCTCTCGACCTTCGAATACATTTTGAGGAGAGGTACGGCGGGGACGAGACCTCCTATATTCCGCCCTTCTATGACCTGCTACAGTTTTTGGAGGAGCAGTGCCGGCAGATCGAGAACGCGGCGGGCACCGTTGACGACTTACGAGCCGTGCCCAGTGAGAAGCTGAATCCGCCAGGCAAGTCGTCGTCAACCCCCCCCCCCCCCCCCCCCCCCTGCTCCTATTGTCGAGCATCTGATAACCGGGTAACGTCGTGCCTGAAATTATTAGGTAAGCCGGTTCCGGCGAGGCGAACTATCGCCAAGGAGCGCCGCTGGTGCTGCTCATGTTTGGAAGGGCACCTCCAGCGAGACTGTCCGCATCGGCGGCCCTGTCTGCATTGCCAGGGCAATCACCATGCAGTTTTGTGCCTGGGTGCGAACGGCGTCTCCTCTCGGGGCTCTGCCAGGCCCTCGATCCCCACGGGCGGAGGCGCTCAGCCACGCCCTCTGACGGCTAGCCACCAGGCCCCTAGGATTGAAAAGGGTCCCTCCCCTGACCAGTCGGGGGGTAATTCCCCCAGGGACGGGGGGTCATCACCCCCCCTCAGCGTGTGGAGAGGAACTTCACGGCCACTCATCGGTCCGCTGGACCCTTCTCACTCCCGTTAGCTGAGTGGCCGCGACTGGTATACCACTATTCCCCATTTGATGGAGGCAGGCCTGGCTAGCTGCCGCCTTAGCTCCCACCACGGCCGCCTTCACTGACCCTTAAGCCATCAACAGTCCACTTGTCAAAATGTTCTGTTGCCGACGGCCTCAGTGAAGGCGTACAACCCGAGTGGCGACTGTTAGCGGTTTGCGCTCTGTTGGTCTCGGGTTCACGCGGTGTGGCCTCCACTTGGTGGTGGGAATATTAGGGCCCCCCTGGAGCGTTGAATCACGCTGTCAAGGGGTATTAGATTTGGTTTTGGTCGAGTACTTAATTAACGACGCTTTAAATAAAAAATAAAAATGCTTTTGGGTTTACCGCGAAAATTTTCATATTTGTAGCGGTTGTGATTAAAAGGTTGAATTTAATATGCTCCTTTAAATGCTGCTGCATATGTTTTGTAAATATATTTGATCACTGTGTTTGTTGTTGCACGGAAAATTGAAATTGAATGTTTGTGCGTATGTTTTGTAATTGTGTTTAATCATTTTGCTTGTGAAAGGGAAGGTTGAAATTGGATAACCCTATTTGTGCCGAAGGGAGTAAAAGTCAATTCTCCTTTTAACTAGACATTTCAAGGTTATCCATTCATTACCGGACACCTTGTATAGTTTACTATCTTCACTGGTATACTCAGCTTCAGCATTTTTTGCCTGAGTACAGGAAGAAGTACATTGTCGTATGCAGATGAAATGTCGAGAAAGACTCCAACAAGGTATTCATTTTTAGAAAAAGCAATACGGATGTCAGTTACTAGTGTACTGAGGCTATCCATAGTGCTTAAGCTTTTTCGAAAGCCAAATTGGCTCTTCGGTAAAACATCCTTACTCTCTAGGAACCATTCTAACCGATTTTTTATCAAATGTTCTTGTCTAGGCAGGAAAATTTGCAATAAAAACGCAGGATTTAACGCGCGCTTTTGGCCTCGATATCAAGGACACCTTCCCTCTCCCCCGCCCCCCCGGCCGCCCAACGAGTCGGTGTGGCTCTTCTCGCGAGGTAGTAGGATTTTTCTTGCGAACTATACGGACGTATTTTTTCGCGCCTAAACTTGCTAAAGAAACAATCCGCGTAAATCGTTGCAATAACGGTATCGTTATTAGAACGTACTAACTCGGTGAAATTCGCGCGCAACTATCAAAGTGATTTACATCTGAAGGACTACCAGAGTAGCCGTCCCATTTGGTGACAACCCCTTACGAGTGCCTCCAGAAGGGTGAAGTTCCGGGGATACCAGCGCGTGCCTTCTCCCGGACGTCGTCGAGTCATCCAGATCGGTTCCCGTCAACATACCAGCTCACACAATTACACCTACACTCACAACACCGCATACACCAAGCACAACTTCCATCAGCCGGGCCGGTCTAGGAGAACCGTCTGCGCTCCTGAGGCAGGTAAGTGCATTTCTTCTAGTGACCTTTCCCCTCGCGTGTTCATTAGAAACCTTTGACCCTCGGCGTAGGAACGCCCGACCTGCATCTGCCCGTGGCTCCTTCGTCTATGGGCCGCGAAGGATCCAACTCCTGTTTAGGCAGGGCAGCTGTTGGCCGTAACATTTGGTAGCAGAGCGTGGTTCTGGGATCGATTCCCGGTCGATCCACCGACCATAGTATTGGATAAAAATTAAATAATTTGGTGGCAGGAGCGTTGGGTGGATTTGTGGCTACAATCACGCCCGTCCGTAATACGTAAAATACCTTTTTATTATTATACGTAATAATAAAATTCCTTCCTTTGTTAGCTTGCTTTACTGTTAGCGGGTAAAATTGAAAGGTCACACCCGGTTCGCGCGCAAGCGGGAGATTGCGTCATGTAGGTAGATGGTTATTTTTACGTAATCGGTTAATTGTCGTTGTCGGATGGTAGTGTGTTACTTATCGAAGGGTTGATTTCCGAGCAAGGCATTTTTGTTGATGTGTATCTTCGTTACATATCTTTCGTATTGTAAATTGTATTTGAACTAAAGAGTGGTAATTTGTATTTACGTAATTTAAATGAACTTGATTTGATCGTACTAGTATTTGTTATTGTTGATTTGATTTACCTTTTCCTTTGTACTAACTTGTGTTTGATTTAATAATAGCTGTTCTTATTTGTGTACATTCTATCCAACTCGATTTGATAGGAACTGCATTAGTTAGCTGTTAATTTTTTTGTATTTTTTATTTGTTATTGTTGTAATTGTGCTCGAGCCGCGTCGTAATTTGAATTTAGTAGTGATGTCCTCGCCCAAGATGCTAATCCGTTGCCTGCGGACTGAGCTGCGCTGGGCTACCAGCGCACACGCGTTGATAGGCCGACCGGACAGGGTCTACAATCTGAGGAAGAGGCTTGAGCAGGTCGATGCTCGAAGGGCGGCCGTGGAGGAGGCTTACTCTGAGCTCGAGGACTTGGAGGTGGAAAAGGGAGTCCTGGAATCTTGCCGCGCGGACTACGAGCAGTTCCTCGCGCTGACGGACGACCTGATCGAGGCGGGGGCCAAGGATGCGGAGAGGGAGCGCGAAGCTCGGCTGAGTAGCCTTCTCGAGTCCCCGCGGAAGCCGTCTGCCCAGCCAGAGCTGCTAGGACGACTTCCGACGCTGGACCTGCCAAGGTTCTCCGGGGTCCTCTCGGAGTGGATGACCTTCGTCGGCCTGTTTGACAGCCTGGTGGACGCCCGGAGGGACCTGACCCCCTGCCAAAAAATGGGGTACCTCCTGGCTTCACTAGAGGGGGAGGCCCTGAGCGTCGTCGGCCACCTTAAGTTGTCGGACGACGCCTACCAAAACGCCAGGGACCTCCTCGCTGGAAGGTACGCCAACGTCCGGCGGATTGCGGACGATCATGTTCGGAGGCTGCTGAACCTCCCGCTGCTGAAGGACCGGACTAGACTACGTGAAGACATAGTGAATCCAGTCGTCGTAGCGTGCAACTCGTTGCGGCGGCTGGATTTACCTGTGGACGAGTGGTCTTTTCTGCTCCTTCATATAGTGCTGTCCCGCCTGCCCCTCGACCTTCGGCTCCATTTTGAGGAGAGGTTCGGAGGGGATGGCGCCTCTTATATGCCCCCCTTTAGGGACCTGCTGCGGTTCCTGGAAGAGCAGTGCAGGCTGCTGGAGAACGCAGCAGGCGCCGTCGAGGGCCCCCCGGCCTCCTCCCGAGCGGTGCCCAGGGAAAGGCGGAGTCAGCCGGCCAAGGCGGCGCCCACCCCCCTGAGGCCGAGTGTAGCCCCCGCGGGAGGGCGCCCCCCCGTACCCTCCTATAGTGGCCTAGCGGCCCGGGAGGCGCCTCCCTGCTCCTATTGTCGAGCATCCGACCACCGGACGGCGTCGTGCCCGAAGTTGTTGCGCAAGCCGGCTAAGGCGAGGCGAACCATCGCCAGGGAGCGCCGCTGGTGCTTCTCGTGCCTGGAGAGGCATTTACAACGAGACTGCCCGCACCAGCGGCCCTGCACGCACTGCCAGGGCAACCACAACGTCCTCTTGTGCCTGGGTGCGCGCGGCTCGTCCTCGCAGGGCCCTGCCAGCCCCCCGACTCCCACGGGCGGGGGCGCCCAGCCACGCCCACTGTCGGGCGACGCTCGGCGCTCACCGGCGGACCGCAGCGCCCCTCCTTCTGAAGGGAGCCCCTCCCCCGATCGGTCGGGGAGTCGTTCCCCCAGGGGCGGGGGGGTCTTCACCCCCCCTCCCCGAGTTGATAGTGGATTCGCGGCCACTCAGCGGTCAGCTAGACCTTTCTCACCCCCGTTGGCTGAGTGGCCGCGACTGGAACGCCGCCCGCCCCCCTTTGGCCGGTGCCGGTACTACCGGGTTCCGGAGACTGCGTATCGGCCCCGAGCCTTGGAGCCGAGGATCCCCGAGTTTCCCTCGGTCGGCCCGTTCGGGGAATTCCAGTCGGGGGTCATCGAGACGCCGTCGGAGTGCCGCGCTCGGGCCCCCCGGTTCGGGTGCCGGCCTAACAGAGGCAGCTCCAGATAGGAGGCTGCCGCCCTAGCTCCCGCCATGGCCGCCTCCACTGAGCCTATAAGTCGTCAGCAGTCCACCTGTCAAACTGTTCTATTGCCGACAGCCTCAGTGAAGGTTTACAACCCGAGCGGCGACCACTTAACGGTTCGAGCTCTATTGGACTCGGGTTCCCAGCGTAGTGTGGCCTCTACTCGGTTGGTGGGAAGACTGGGGCTCCCCTGGAGCTCTGAATCACGTCCGATGGTAGGTATCGGAGGTGCCGAGCCTCCTGCTCCTAGGGGACAATCGGAGTTGGTGTTCAGCCCTGACAGCGAACACCTTCGTATTTTAGTCAAGGTAAATGTCCTCGACGACATTGTAGGGTTCCTCCCTAACGTTCGTATAAATGACAGCGCTGTGCGCTGTGCGTCGGCTTTGAGACCGGCAGACCCTCGGTGGGCCCAACCGGGGCCGATAGATTTGTTACTGGGGGCCGACACGCTGGGTGCCCTCTTGTTAGGTGAGATACGAGCTCTGCAGCCCAATGGCCTGGCAGCCATTTCCACGATATTTGGGCACAGCTTTTTTGGACCGGTTATGTGGTCTCCTCCCTCTCCGACGGCCGACCCTCTCTCCGTCGTGGGCGTGTCCCTATCGGACGCTGTCCAGCGATTCTGGGACATTGAGGAACCACCCCATGCAGCTCGAGTCGACCCTCTGGACCGTGAGTGTGAGTTGTTCTACCAGAACAATACCGGCCGGCGGGTTGACGGTCGGTTCGTCACTCGCTTACCCTTTCTGGACTCCCGCCCCTCTTTGGGTCAATCCCGTGCTCTGGCCGAGAAGAGGTTGCTTTCCATGGAGCGCCGCATGCGGCGTGACCCAGCCTTTCGCGACAAATATGTCAAGTTCATGCGCGAGTATCAGGAGCTGGGTCACATGTCACCGTCCAACTTCGAATGGCGTTCACATGAGCACTACTTCCTCCCTCACCATGCGGTCTTGAGGACCCCTGAGAGTAAGATTCGGGTAGTCTTTGACGGTTCCGCCCCCACATCAAACGGTGTGTCCCTGAATCAGTGTCTTCACTCGGGTCCTAAACTGATCAAGGACATATCCGACATCCTGACCCAATTCCGTCGACACCAAGTGGTTTTTGTCGCGGACATTCGGATGATGTTTCGCCAATCGGTGGTACATCGTGATGACCGCCGATATCAGCTGATATTGTGGCGCGAGAAGCCCAGCGATCCCATACAGGTATTTGAGTTGAACACCACCACTTATGGACTCCGGTCCAGCCCGTATATCGCCATGCGAACCCTCCTTGAACTCGCTGAGAGAGAGCGCCTGAGATACGCTCGGGGAGCTTCTATCTTAGAGACTTCGGTCTACATGGACGACATTTGTACGGGCGCTTCCACCGTCGAGGAGGCTCTGGTCTTGCGAGACGAATTAATTGCCATCCTGAAGTCTGGAGGCTATGAGTTGCGCAAGTGGCTGTCGAACTCCCCACACATTTTGAGGGACCTCCCAGGAGAGGATCAACAAGATCCTCATCTGTTCGAGCACCCTGAGAATCCTAATTTGCTGACTGTGCTGGGCATTCAATATCAGCCTGTTCAGGACACCTTCACGTATAGAGTAAAACTTGACCCACCTCCCAAAGCATGGACCAAGCGCTCCGTGCTGTCTACAGTAGCTCGCACCTTCGACCCAAATGGATGGATCACCCCGGTCATCTTTTTGGCTAAGTGCTTTCTTCAAAAGCTCTGGATGTCGGGGTTGGGTTGGGACGAGCCTATTAGCGGGGTCCTCTTGCGAGAGTGGCTCTCCATGCTCTCCTCCCTTCCGGACATCAACCGGGTTTCCATGCCAAGGTGCTTCCTACCTCCAGGGAAATGCAGGGCTACCCTACATGGGTTTTGCGACGCCTCTGAGAAGGGCTATGCTGCTGTCGTATATTTGCGGACTGTGAGTTCCTCTGGGCATACTGCAGTTCATCTCGTACTCGCCAAAAGCAAGGTTGCTCCCATTAGATCCCGTTTAACTATCCCTAAATTGGAACTGTCCGGAGCCGCTCTTCTCACGCGGCTCCTCAACCACGTTCACTCGTCCTTGAAGCCTGTAATCGACATTACGGACGTCTACGCATGGTCGGACAGTGAGATAGTACTTTGTTGGCTCCGAGCCGCACCTCACAATCTTGAGGTCTTTGTGGCGAACCGCGTGTCTCAAATCCAGAGTTCTGAGACTTCTCTCCACTGGAGACATGTCCCCGGGGAGTTGAATCCCGCCGACTGCGCTTCCCGCGGCTGTGAGGCCCCCGCGCTGGTTGCCCACTCATTGTGGTGGGGTCCCAGTTGGTTATCTGATCCTCAATCCTTCTGGCCCCAGGGTAATTACTCCGAACCTACTGAGTTGCCGGGCCTACGGGCCCGAGTAGGAGTGGGCAAGGATAAGCCCACTCGGGATCTCTCCCTTCTGGAACGGTACAGCTCTCTCGATAAGCTCTTAGGAGTGACTGCTTGGCTGCGCCGCTTTGTCCACAATTCGAGAGATCCGTCCAACCGACTCTCTGATTGCGTTTTGTCCCCTAGCGAGCGTCGGGAAGCCCTGATGCATTGGATCCGTATGGTCCAGACGGAGCATTTTGAGCCCGTTATCGAACACTTGAAGCGTGGCTCCGTTATCAAGGGCGCTCTGGCCCGCCTGAACCTCTTTCTGGACGACGCTGGGATGCTGCGCGTGGGCGGACGTTTGAAAAACTCTCAACTGCCGTGCGGGGCTCGACACCCGTTGCTGCTCCCTAAGGACGGCGCCCTTGTCCGGTTGCTGGTAACCCACCACCATGTTAGGAATGCCCACGCTGGGTGTAACGCCCTGTCGGCTATTTTGCAGCGGGAGTTTTGGATTTTGTCTGGTCGTCGCACCATTCGGAGCGTCATCTTTAAGTGCATCCCCTGTTATAAACTGAAGGCCCCCATATCGCAGCCTCTTATGGGTGACTTGCCGCCCGACCGCGTCAGGGCCATCCGACCATTCGCTGGGGTCGGAACAGACTTCGCTGGCCCCTTCCTCGTCAAGTCCTCTAACCTTCGTAACGCGCGTTCATGTAAGGCCTATCTTTGCGTCTTCGTGTGCCTCTCCACTAAAGCCGTTCACTTGGAACTGGTGAGCGCCCTCAGCACGGAAGCCTTCTTGGCCACGCTTGGCCGTTTCGTGTCGCGGCGCGGCTTGCCGGACTTGATCCGGTCTGACTGCGGGACGAATTATAAGGGCACGGATAGGTATCTCAAGGAGGTTGTCGAATTTCTGTCCAGCCACCGGACTTATTTAGGAAATGCTATGTCGAAAAGGGGCATCCAGTGGAAATTCGACCCTCCGGCGTGTCCCCACTGGGGCGGTATTTTCGAGGCGGTGGTTAAGGTTGCCAAAACGCATCTCCGTCGCGTTATTGGTGAAGCCATTTTGACGTTTGAGGAGCTCGCCACTGTATTCTGTAAAATTGAGGCGGTACTCAACTCTCGGCCCCTCTGTCCCCTCTCCTCTGACCCGAATGATTTGGAGGTTCTAACCCCGGGACACTTCCTGATTGGCCAGCCTCTTAACGCTCTGCCCGAGTATCCCTTCAGGGAAACGAGTGCTTCACGGCTTAGCAGGTTTGCCCTGCTGCAACAGATGACTCAACGCTTTTGGCACCGATGGTCTCTGGAGTACCTACATCTTTTGCAGCAGCGCGTTAAGTGGTCTGACAAGACGGAGCCTCCTCGGGTGGGAGACCTCGTGTTGATTAAAGAACCAAACGCGCTACCTTTGTATTGGCGCCGTGGGCGCATTGTTAAATTGTCGTATGGAACGGATGGGGTGCCTAGAGTGGCCGAGGTTTTGGTCGGAGATTCGGTCTTGCAACGGGCCGTCGCGACCTTGTCCCGTTTGCCAATCTACTCGCGGACTTAATGCCTTATGTCCGGGGCGGGGGGTTGTCTAGGCAGGAAAATTTGCAATAAAAACGCAGGATTTAACGCGCGCTTTTGGCCTCGATATCAAGGACACCTTCCCTCTCCCCCGCCCCCCCGGCCGCCCAACGAGTCGGTGTGGCTCTTCTCGCGAGGTAGTAGGATTTTTCTTGCGAACTATACGGACGTATTTTTTCGCGCCTAAACTTGCTAAAGAAACAATCCGCGTAAATCGTTGCAATAACGGTATCGTTATTAGAACGTACTAACTCGGTGAAATTCGCGCGCAACTATCAAAGTGATTTACATCTGAAGGACTACCAGAGTAGCCGTCCCATTTGGTGACAACCCCTTACGAGTGCCTCCAGAAGGGTGAAGTTCCGGGGATACCAGCGCGTGCCTTCTCCCGGACGTCGTCGAGTCATCCAGATCGGTTCCCGTCAACATACCAGCTCACACAATTACACCTACACTCACAACACCGCATACACCAAGCACAACTTCCATCAGCCGGGCCGGTCTAGGAGAACCGTCTGCGCTCCTGAGGCAGGTAAGTGCATTTCTTCTAGTGACCTTTCCCCTCGCGTGTTCATTAGAAACCTTTGACCCTCGGCGTAGGAACGCCCGACCTGCATCTGCCCGTGGCTCCTTCGTCTATGGGCCGCGAAGGATCCAACTCCTGTTTAGGCAGGGCAGCTGTTGGCCGTAACAGTTCTTGTTACGGCCTACAGGTGCCTAAATAAGAGTAGAATCTTCCGGGCCCATAGCGAAAGACCTTACAAGCAGATGCAGGTCGGGCCTCAGCAAGGGGCCGCGTGGAAAGTCTCTAATAACAATAAACAATAAGGGGGGGCGTTCGATCTTGCTGCTATTCAACAGGGAGAATATTAAACCGAGCTTACTTACCTATATCCAAGGCGACTGGTCCCTCAGGATTCGGTCAGGTCGCATGTGGTTGTGTGGTGCAAGGGAAGTTAGGTGCTGTGATGTGTATCTGGGTGTGACTGGTGGTGCTGTGATGTGTATCTGGGTGTGACTGGTGGTGATTGACCTTATTAGACTGTTGCCGTCGGCAGCAGCCCGGACGTCAGCACCGCTCCAAATTGAGGTAACCTTCCGCGGCGCCGTCCACAGTCACTTTCTTCGTTCGTCACGATGACAGTCCATTAACTCTATCGTACGATTAACTAACTTAAAGAAGCCACTAACTCTTGTTTGTTATAAAGCATAACACACAAAACGAACACGGAGTGTCGGTCTGTATGAAATCCCGTTACTATAAGCAAAAACGTAACACACCGCCCGAATACGAATGTCCGGATCAAAGTTCACTGCCGCTTCGCGTGGCAACAATTATTTCTAAAATAGCAGTTAACATTGTCGAATGCACTTATACAGATTCTGAGTCAGACACAATGAGTCCCGGGTGAAGCTCTCAAGCAAGGAATGCGCGTTACAAATCCCAGACAGTATATTTGCTAGACGCGCCTAAATTATTCCGAGTTCCCGACAAAAATGACAGCGTGCTGTCCCAAGCACAGCCGGCAGACGACTCCTATTTGCCCTCGCGCGTTCTACGCACGACCGAACATCAAACCGGTATCGCCGAGCCGCGCGCCCTCTGACGTCAATCCCGAAATCAGCGTTCGGGCGTAAACATTTCTACTATCTTTGCCATTGTACACGACAGTGCAAAGGGTCTGTAACTTGAAAAGTCTTCACTGGCTTTACCCGGTTTGAGAATAGGAAGTATTATTTGGGTCTTCCATTCTTTGGGAGGAATTCTAGAGTCAAAAATGTGGTTCAGAATGTCAAGAAATACAGTTTTAGTTTTTTTACTGCTTTTAATAATGAATGAGTAAGGAATCCCATCTACTCCTGGAGAGGAGTCCTTAAGACCCTGAAGGACTGTAAATAATTCCTCGTAAGAAAAGGGGGCATCAAATTCATCTAGAGATTGTGTAGAAGGAGAATTAAAAACTAAACATTCAGCATGTGTGGGCACTGAAGGAGGAACAAGATTAAGTGCAAATTCTTCAAGCCAAATTGAAGGGTCATTGGAAGACACATTCTGTTCAACTGTATTAGAACAGCGATATCTTTTAATGTTTTTCCAGACCAGAGAAGGGGGTGTGGAAAGAGATAAAGTAGAACAAAACCTATGCCAGCCGTTTTTTTTTCTTCTGAGATAGCAATTTCACTGTTTCAGCTGCTATTTGTTTATAGGAAATGTAGTTTTCCATGGTCATTGATAAAGAGTATTTTTGCTCAGCCTCTTTCCTTTTTTTGCAAGCAGATGTGCAATCCTGGTCCCACCAAGGAGGTGAGGCCAAATTGCTTCTGTAGGGTTGTTTTAAAGGAATAGTCTTATTGGCAGAAGATAATAATGTATTTTTGAATTCCGTATAGATTGAATGTACATTTTCATGATGCAAAGAAGGAATTGTTGATGTTGCTTGATCTAAAACAGAAGAATAATAATGCCAGTCTTCCTTTGATAAATTATATTTTATAATTAATAGAATCAGGCGTTACTTTGCGGAAATCCATTATATAAAAGCTTTTACAAAAATTTACTTCGCAAATATCCGCGTTATAAAATAAAATGATGTGTCTTACCTAGTATGAAGAAGCACCTCCCGCCCTCCCTCAATTGCGTGCACTATCCCCGTCACCACTAATCCCAGCACCGCTACTCCCAACACCACTACACTAGGCAAGACACACCGCTAATCACTTAGCGGTTAGCCACCGTAGAGTCTATATCACCTGAGGATGCCTCGTGTAGAGGCGAAACACGTGTCGTATTATCGTCAGTGGTGTGTCTTGCCTAGTGTAGTGGTGTTGGGAGTAGTGGTGCTGGGATTAGTGGTGACGGGGATAGTGCACGCAATTGAGGGAGGGCGGGAGGTGCTTCTTCATACTAGGTAAGACACATCATTTTATTTTATAACGCGGATATTTGCGAAGTAAATTTTTGTAAAAGCTTTTAAATTATATTTTAACCTCTGGTTGAATTCAGAATTTGCTCTTGTAGAGTCAGCAGATGTGATAAAAATTGGATAGTGATCACTACCATGTGAAATTGTTAATGTTTTCCATGATAGAAGGGAAACTAAGCCAGGAAAACAAAGAGTCAAGTCCACTACACTTCTTCTTCTTCTTCTTCCTTTATGGCGGTTACGATGAATTCGCCAATGACATGTTATATGCGAAAATGTTTAATGGGGACACAAACTCTGCTTAAAAAGGGGAAATTGATAATACAAGAGATGGTAACAACGAATATTATGTGAATAATTTTGGTCAACTTATCTGTTGAATTACCTAACACAAAAGACAGTGATGTGAGCCCCATGAAGTATGGTGAATATTAAAATCTCCCATGATAACAACAGGGGGAGTTAGACAAGAAATAAGATTAATAAGTTCATTTAAGATGGTAACATTAGGATCAGGAATGTATACAGACATTAAAGATATGTTGAGAGCTTTGACTGCAACAGCATTAATCGAGGAGCTGTGGGAAGGAATAGGTATAGAAGAATATGTAATTTTTTTTGAGATCAGAATAGAGGAACCAGCATGTCCATTGCTCCTATCATCCCGAAGACATGAATAACCTGAGATCCTAAATTGGGAGTCAGGTCTAAGCCACATCTCCTGAATGGCAAGAACAGATGGTCTAAATTTGTTTATAAGAAAGATAAGTTCATTCTTTTTATGTTTGATGCTCCGACAATTCTATTGTAGAATTGTGAATGTTGCTAGTTATTGAAGTAAGCTGAGTAAGTTTATGACGTAAACTGAGGGGAAGTTCTGCGTCACTGAAACGGGAAATCATGTTATTTATTTATTTATTTTTTTATTTAATATTCTTTATTGCACACCATACATAAATTACAAAAATTCTATATATAAAAGAAGTATGCAATGGGCGGTCTTATTGCTGATAGCAATTTCTTCCAGACAACCAATGAATGGACAGGATTGCACGAATATGACAAGGGCAGGGCAAATTGGTGTGTTAGAGAAAAAAAGAGATAAAAAAGAATAAACACATATACATACTATACATACACATACTATAAACATATATACATACAAAAATATATATATATATATATATATATATATATATATTGAATTATTTAATTAATTAAATGAAATTGATATGATACATATGATATATTATTTAATGGCTAATGTGAAAGTGAAGTTATGATTTAAAGTGCGAAGTAGTGATTTTTAACTAGTTTTTTTAAATACCGGTAGGGATGGTGCGCGTTTTACTGACAATGGGAGTTCATTCCATAAATGAACGGCCTGTACAGTAAAAGACTTGTTCATAAATTTTCTAGTGTATAGTGGCAAATTCAACTTCAAACTCTCTGCTGATCTCAAGTTACGCGAATGGGAATCGTGAAGAAACTCAAAACGATTTTTGAGGTAAGAGGGGTAAGAAGGATTAAAGAGAACACTATAGAGAAGATGAAGTATGTGAGCATTCCGATGAAGTCGTATTGGCAACCACTTGAGCTTAGTACGAAAAAAAGATACATGGTCATATTTGCGCAATCCAAATATAAACCTTATGCAAAAATTCTGAATTCGCTCAAGTTTATCGAGGTGAGCTTCGGTGAGATCTAGATAGCTGACGTCTGCGTAGTCAAAAATAGGGAAGAGAAGGGACTTGGCAAGCATAGTTTTGGTGGAAATGGGAAGAAAGTTACGTAATCTACGCAAGGAGGCTGCAGAGGCATAAACTTTGCGATTAATTTCTTTGATGTGCTGTCCCCACGACAGATTCTTATCTATGTGGATACCTAAGTTCTTTACTGAATCTGCGTAAGGAATAATAGTTTTACCAAATACTAGAGGCAGGTAATCTAGGCTCGACTTAGCCAACATTTGCGCGCTGCCCATGATAATGGCTTGCGATTTTGCTGGGTTAACGTGAAGGCCGTATGCATTACTCCACTCAAGAATTCGATCGAGATC